TCATTAATTATTTATTTATTTTATATTTTCAATAATACTATATTGTAATAAATCTATTAAAACTATTTTCACAATTTGACTATGATGTTAAATAAATTTGAAGAAATTCAATATATATTAACAAATTGAATATTTGGTCATTTTCTATAAAAATACAATTTTCAATATTTTTGGAATATCGAAACATTTACATTTTCTGCATATGTAAAATTACTATGTTCAACATTTTTGAAATAATAAATATTCATAGTATAAAAAATTGCAACAGATATTTTAATACAAAATTTAATTCACTAGTAGATTGATTTCTACTTAAAGGATAAAAAGATAGGTAAGTTTTATTATATAAAATAAAGATAGAATCTTAACTATTCGAATTATTATTTGATTGGTGATTAAGATTAATTATTTATCGAAGAACTGCAAGTAAAAAGCAATTACAAATAGCGAAAAATAAGTAAATATAAGATTATTTGCCAGGCGTCTAGTTTTTTCGATTTTTGACTGTCTTTTAAATTTTTATTCTTAAGTTATATAAATTATCATAGTAAAGTTATTTTAATTATAAGTTTCATTTTATACTGGAAAACTAATTATATTTTTAAAGTTTTTTTATAAAAATGTTCATTTTTATTTGTACTAATTTAAATTAACTAACTTAAATTTTATAAAACTAAAATAAGATCCGAGATATTAAAAAAATGTTCCTATAGATTTTCTATCTATTTTTTAAAAATCGTTTTAAAAAACCTCAAATTACTTTTCTATCCATTTATTTCCATAAAAAGTAATACAAACCTTTTTATGAATTGAATTAATTTAGAGTATCCGGCTGATATACTTATATTGCTACATATGAAAATTATATTTACCTTTTGGATATATAATCTATAATATAAAATTTGAAGAATTTTCACATTGACTGTAATTTTTTTTTTTTTATAAATATAATATATGTTATTTTTTAATACAATAAAAGCTTTAGGGCTAATACGCGTTCCATTAAAAATAAACTTTCTTTTAGAGTACTACCTTTACATTGAATTTATGAAATTTTATTTGATAATATTTCTTTCTTCTAAATTAGAAATACATAAATCCCAGATGCACAATAGGATGCAATTAATTAATATTAATTGTTCATATATTGTATTTTTAAAAAGAAATTTACACTAATACTGAGACATATGCCTCCAAAAAATTCATAAATTAAAATTAAATTTATAATTATTATTTCTTATAACACTTATGGTACATCTTGAATATATATAAAAGAAATTGATATTTTGAAAAGTTTGTAAATAATACTCATTCTACAAATTATAATAATAAAAAACACTATTTCAAATAATTATGTTAAATATACTAATTTTAGTACTTTTCAACTATTTATTCCACATTCAATAGTCTATTCTTATTTCATTTATGTGCCTTTATTCATATAATTCTTTCTTGTACTGTGAAAGAATAAAAGAATAATTTTAATCTAAAAGAAGAAACTTGAAGAATTTTAAAGGATGCGTTAAAGTTCAACAATTCCACATTGCTTCTATTGCATACATTTATATATTACAGTTTGTTAATTCTTTTACATTGATATTTCCTAAACTTGTCTGATAAATAATAAGAAGCCTTTTTAAAGGAATTTATTATTAATAAACATACAGTAAAATAGAAACATCCGCGTTTAACAATCCTTGCATGAATTTGTTTGCACTCTTAGGATAAGACTTACTTATTTTTCAACAGTTTAAAATGATTTTATGTGTCATAATGCAACTAATATCGAAAATAAAATTATATCTAAACTTATGTATATTTCATAGATAATGTTAATGCAATAAGGTAAATTACTAAGTAGATAATTAATTTTTTTAACAAATTATTTTAGTAAAATTTTACATAATTACAGACTTAGTCCAAAAATTTGATTAAAAATTATTATTTATGTTATTTTGTTAAATTTTTTATTCAAATTCCTTAATTATATATATATATATATATATATATATATATATATTGCCATATTGCCATAATATACTAGAATTAACTACAAAAAACGAGATTTCACAATTCACAGTTGGTAAAAAAATAGACTAAATTAACGAATCTTTTACAATTACATTAAGTTAAAGTGCAAAGATATTTATATATTTTTTATATCAATAACAAATACATTTTGAAATATACGAACTTGGAATTTAATATATCTGCAATAGAAATCAGTAGTGGCAGGTATAATTAAATATATTTGATTTAAAGAATTTTTTCAGAGTGCTATTAACATGAGTATAAAATGTAAAAGAAAAAATATATTTATATAAATAAATTTACATTAAAGTATGTGAATAAAATGGATTTATATAGCTTTATTCATTAAGCACATATTTAATAATTAAAATTTTCTATCAATATAATATTACAGTAATTTTATCCGTTTTAATAGCTAGTTAGTTCCTTAAGTTGCATATAAAATATTAAATAAACACAGAA